CCAAACAAATAAAAATAAAATTGGACATTTAGGGTGGGCTTGCGTGGCTAATCAAACAATACTAATTTGGAAATCTTTTTCTAACTATGCTACTTTGGGTATGTTTTTTTATCTTTATCATGGTAATGTTAGACCAGTAATTTTATAATAAAAATTAATAATTTTTAATTTAATTATTAAATTTGATTAAAAGTTTTTCAAGTAATTTCATGAGCCATTCTATAAGAGATTTAGTATGTCGTAATTAGTCAAGTTTTATAATAGTTTCAGATAAGGTATATGAGATTTTATTTTAATTAATTTTATGTTATTTTTATTTTTTCTTTGAAAAAAAAGCTTTATCAAATTAATGTCAATCTCAATTAAAAAAAATAACACAAATTTTAAAAATAACATAAAATTAAAAAAAAATCAAAGTAAATTAATAAAATTAGCTTAAACAGAATCTTGGTCACAACCAACCAGGCCTCGTATGGTCCTATTGCTAAGTTATTGTTATGGTGCTGCTAAATATTTTAATATTAAATGATAAAATAAAAAATAAACTAAATAAAATAATAATAATAATAATAAAAAGCACTTTGAAAGTGCAGGGTTTTTTATTTTTTTGAAAAACAGGCACTTTTCAATGGTGGTTTTTCATGCAGTTTTTTTTTTTTTTTTTGGAAAACAGGCACTTTTCAATGGTGGTTTTTCAAATATGTTATCTATGTTAAATCTTCCAGAAACTGGTACTGTATCTATATGTTTTTAACACAAGTATTGATATGCATTATGATTTCTTTTTTTTTTTTTTTAAAATATCAGAATAAGGATAATAACTTTTGCTTTTTTAAAAAAAAATATCAGAATAAGGATAATAACTTTTGATGTAGTTTGTACAGTGGAAGGAAGAAAGCTTGTATAACATAGGGAAAAAAACCCTTATCTAAAGTTCTATTGCATTGTTTGATTCTATAAATAAGAACTGTGATTGCACAAAACCAACACTCATCAAACGAATTTTGCTTCTATTTTCCTTTTTATTATTTTTATAGAGTTTAGAGGCTTAATGGGTGATACATGTATTGTTTCTATATAAAACAAATAAATATCCTTAAAACAATGTTTTTAAGCCAGTTGATCTCGTATGTTTCTTTGTCTTCATCCCAAATTTCTCGAACAATGCCAGTAGTGGGAAACTTAACTCAATTCTTTATTTATTTATATATAAAAAATACATCAATCTTTGAGTGTGGACTACATAAGTCCTCACACATAAATATATGGGATTGAAAATAAAATGAAATAAATTCTGATAGATATAGTTTACTCAGCTCCTCGAGGTGAGAAAATACTGAGCATGTTGTCTTTGACCACGTCTCACGCAAATGTCTATCACGTTGTCATGTTTATTTCGACATATCATTTAATATTATGGCAGGTAGTTTCCTAAACTAGCCAGCATTATGTTTCTATTTTAATTTCCAGCGTGGAGTAAAGGATTATTGGGATAATCCAAGTGTGGAAGCTTTCGACATCATTGATATTTAATGGCTCCAATTAAAATTGAAGGTGATTCTTATCACTTCTTCCGTGAGAACAAAGGGAGTGTTTCTTCTTCTTCTTCTTATTATTTTTTTACAGGTCCCGAGATGTTTGTCTTTTTTTTAAAAAAAAAAGAGTCAAAGAATTAATTAAATATCAAATTTTACAACTTTATTTCCTTTAAAATTATGTTCACATGTCTTCTTTTTCCCAATTATATTTAATTTTTAAAAATAAATCATATTCACATGACTCTTTCCTAACCCTTTCATGATAAGAAGATTTTTATTTGCTTGTTAGAATAATTTTTCATGTTATTGTCCCTTGAAGATTCGAGTTTTGTATTATGGGTCCATGATATCATTGACCGAGAAAGGAGGCCATAGCCCTGTTGTTATAACAAGGCTGCAGTTAACTTTTTTTTTAAAAAAAAAAGAAACAAAAAGGGGGTTTTCACTCTGACCCATCTTATATAACTATTCACTAGAATTTTTTTATTTTTTTATTTCCATCCTTTATTATTATTATTTTATTTTATTTTAATTTTATCATTCAATATAAAAATTCTTATAAATTGAATTTTATATTTTTTAATTTATTTTTTACAAATTTACCTAGAATTCATGACATGAATCGTGCTAATAAGTTAGCTCGAGTTTTTTTTTTAATTGAATTTTTTTAATTTTATTATTCAGCATTAAATTAATTAAAAATTAAGTTTTATAATTTATTTTGATCTGTTTTTAAAAAGGTTATCTTTATCTCATAAATCAGATCATAAATATGGTCGGTTAACTTTAGTTGACTCGAGTTATTTTTTTTAATTATTTTTTTTAATTTTATCTTTTAACATTGAGTTTATTGAGAATTAAACTTTCTAATTTATTTCATTTTGCTTTCTATTGGGTTGTCTTGATCTCATGATTTTGATCACAAGTTTGGCATGTTAACTTAAGTTGACATGAGTTATTTTTTGGGTTTTTTTTAATTGATTATTTTTTATTTTCATCATTTAACATTAAATCTATTGAAAATTAATTTTTGTAATTAATTTTGATTTATTTTTATGGGATTATCATGATCTCATGATTTAGTATACAACTTAACAAGTTAATCCAAGTTAACTCAAGTCGATCAAATATGTTGTTGTCTCAATATCTATTAAAAAATCTTATTTTAAATATTTATCTAGACTTAAATTACACTTTTATTAGTAATATGGGTTGCCTTTAGACTACTAAGACGACTGAATCATATTAGATCAATTCTCACTATATTTTTACTTTACTAGAAAAATATTAACAAGGCTGAAATGTATTCTTATGTTAAAAAAATTGATTCAAACTGCATTGTGGTTTATATGTTATATTGTATTTCATATTGTTGTATATGAATTCTACTTGTGCAAATGCAATAACCTATTATTCAGGCTTAACACCGCAAATATTACAAATCACATTATCAAATACCTAATTCAACATTTATGCTTTTCCATTTGTTTATGGATGTTTTGTGCCATTGAAATTCAAATATGAATCATATATTCTTCATAATATTCACCAAACATGACTAAAAAACTTACAATCTTGGTAAATAGTAATGGTTTTTGGTGTCTTATGCAAACAAAATATATTCGAAAGAAAAGTTGAGTAATTCTTGAAGCATTGTTAGTTTTTTTTACAAGGGATAAAATATGTCATATTCTCTTATATGATATTTATATATTTCCTAAGTTTGTTATATTTTGTAACCTAATCAAGAAAATTTTTCATGTTTAAGTCTCCATTTAAGTTGTATATATTTACCTTGAGATTGAGAATTCATTCATTGTCATACCCTTATAGTTTCTATTTTGGGTATGGTTGGCTCACACATTGTAGCTTATAATAATATACAACCCCTTATAGTGTCTTTCAATTTCTTCCTTACCAAACTCCACATAAATAACTTTGTTTTCTATAAGTTTGGAATTAAATAGTAATAATCTTTACTAAAAAGAAAACATAAAAATATTTGAATAAGAGTTCAAATCAATATTATTAGGAAATCTAAACCAAATAAAACTTTGAAACCTAATCTTGAAAAAAAATCTTAAAATAACTTTATAAGTAAACAGACATTGAAAATAAATAATATCTTTAATAATTTTTGAGCATGATTGATCTTGAATGATTGGTTGATCATCAATTATGTTCGATTTGGTTGTTTATTATCGATTTTGTTAGAAAACTCTCTTGATGTGTTTATACTTTTTTTGGGCTTCGCTTTGCCCACTTGATTTATAAATATATTCATTAAATACTTCATGTCAATAACAAATCCAAAACATAAATTTAGATTCAACATGTATCCATAATGAGTTGAAAATTTAAAACTCGACCTAATGTGAGTTTGATACAAACTCATTTAAAAATAAAATAGTTTAAATTAATTAGTGAATCCTTATATATAAACTTAGTTTCTTTTGATATTGTTGTTGTCATCGTCTTATAGACCGATTATTTACATGAAAAGGTAAAATATTATGGTAAATATCATAAAATGCTTTAAATGTTTTATGATTAAAAGAAATATTCAATCAGACCAATTAAGCAAAACACTATACATATATCTTCAATCCAATTTGCTAATAAATTTTGTGATCAAAATAATTTTTTTACGAGAGTGAAGACAAAATTATTAGTAACATGCAAATTACTCAGTTTTTTTTTAACGAGATCTAATGCAATATTTCTTCTAAAAAAGTATTTGATAAAAACATGTTTACATTCTATATAGAGAAAAAGGAGGACAAGTGTCCCCGTAAACGTTTTTGTATATTGAATTTAGCCCTTAATTCCTTATACTTTTCTGAATTTTACATATGGATAATTGGAGGATCTACCTATACACATGCAAATCACAATGTAATTTAAAATTTTATTTATTGTGATCCTGAACAAATCAATCATTATACTCACTTCCATGTTCACGTAAATCAATTGAATGATTGTAAATTGTTCATGTGCATTGCTCCTGACAAAATATCTCACATAAACATGTTTCATGAATATATTATTTTTTTAATTTATAATACCATCATATTAAAATTATTCAATTATATTAAAAAAATTATTAATTTTTTATTTTTTAAACAAATATATTCTTGAAACAATCGGAATCATGTGGAAACACAGTTCGAAACAATCACTAATCCACAATCTTTTATAATGATGGTACAATAAAAGGTCTAGCAATTAGCATCAGTGATTAGGATCCCTCACCAATGCCTTCTCATTCTTTGCTGCTGACGCAGGAAGTAGTACGGTCTATATACTCCTTAGATTAGTGACTAGCTAGTGGCTATTCATGCAGCAGTAATCGGCAATTGGTGAGAAGGAAAAGGAAAAAGAAAAAGAAAAAAATCAGAAACAAGGGGTAAGCTGAGCTAAAAGGACTAAAGAGGCAGAAAAGGACTAGAGAGTAGAAAGAGAGACAAGAGAGTGGAGGAAACTAGAGTGAGTAGCTGGGGGGAGGGGGAGAGAGAGAGAGAGACCAGAATGAGATTATGACCATGATCAGCAGGAGAGAGCTATTCTAGTTTGAGGGGATTTGGTAAAAATATTGGTAACGTCGACTCAAATTCCTTGGATAGATAGATAGATAGAGAGATCACAGCAAGAAATCATTCATCATCATCAGCAGCAGCAGCAAAACACTCCCCTCTCTCTTTTTGTGTGTTGTAAAAATTACAGCGTTTTTTGTGTGGATGCGAGGTCAAAAACAGAAGCAGTTTCGTAACTGAAACAGAGAGAGAGAGAGAGACTGAGCCACTCCCCACTGCTTGCTTCCTATATATAATTATGAAAGAAAAATGAAATCTTGCATAACCGTCATGCCTGCTTAGACTTTGCTCATTTAATGGGGTAGTTCTTTACTGCCTGAAAGCCCTTTTCTTTCCTTCTCTCGTTCAGCTTCGATCTTTTTAGTGGATTCATTCTCTTTCTTAACTCCGTTGTTTTCTCTCGGCTTCTGTTGCACGACCTTGCTTGCCTGGCTGTTTTGATGGCTCATGCTGAAAGAGGTGAGTGGAGATGGGTATCTTTTTGTTAATTTGGTGACCAAGAAAATGAATGGGCCTTTTCCGCTTCGTCTGGTTGCTGAGAATGGAGAAGAAAGGAAAAGTAATGGGGCTTTGAGATGTACTTCCAGTTAATTTTGTTGTGCATTCTACCAAAAAAAGAAAAAAATGGTGTGCAAAAGATTGAAGATTTTGATCCCACTTGAGTTGGTATTATTAATATTTGCTGAAGCGGATGTTTTTGCTTTGAAAATACTAAAATGATGCCAAATTTATGTTTCTCAAATTGGTGGTCTCTCTTCTTTTCTCTGGTTTTCTCAGCAACCAGACAGTTTTAGACCCGCTTAAAAGTTATCTTCAAATCTCTTGTTATTTCGTGTTTTAATTTGGCTGGCTTTTGACGGCTGTAGCAGGTGATAATCTGTATACAGAGCTATGGAAGGCATGTGCAGGGCCATTGGTGGATGTCCCAAAGGATGGAGAGAGAGTTTTTTACTTTCCTCAAGGTCACATGGAACAAGTATGTAGCTTTTGATTTACTTTTCCTGGAAATATTTTAACTTCATTTCTCTGCTTTCATTTTTTAAAACTCTCAGATCGAAATCTGAGCCTCTACCTATATTGTTTTTGGTTTATGGATTGTTTATGCAGTTAGAAGCATCAACAAATCAAGAACTGAACCAGCAAATCCCACGGTTTAATCTTCCTCCTAAGATCCTTTGTCGTGTTGTAAACATTCAACTTCTGGTAGTTCTAATTCTGGTGCTCTTATTTCATAGTTATGTTTTCCTTGCAAGGCTTTCTATTAGTTTATCTCATTAATGTCTGGTTTCTTTAAATTTCTAGGCTGAACAGGACACGGATGAGGTTTATGCTCAGATTACTCTGCACCCAGAAGTAGATGTGAGTAAATGTTCTCCTTTTTGGTTTTATTTTTTCGGTTTGTTGATGAATCAATCTGTCTTATTTCACATTCTTCGTTCAATTCAATTTCAGCAAACCAAACCTACAAGTCCAGACCCTTGTCCACCCGAGCCGGCAAAGCAAACAGTTCATTCCTTTTGCAAAATTCTAACAGCTTCTGATACGAGCACCCATGGAGGTTTCTCTGTTCTCCGAAAGCATGCAACTGAATGCTTGCCTCCTTTGGTGATAACTCTTACTTAAATGGTTTTTAGATGTAGTGATGGATGTTCATTGGAAATTTTGTAATCAATCACCACTACCACCGTTTCTTTTCATCAGGACATGAGCCAAGCAACGCCTACTCAGGAACTGGCTGCCAGAGATCTTCATGGCTATGAGTGGCGGTTCAAGCATATATTTAGAGGTAAATGTTCCATATCAATTTTGCTTTGTGCAATATTGCTATTTTCTAGCTCACTGAAATGGGTAACACATTAAGAAACTGGAGTTTAGACTTGTTTTCTTTTTTACTTATATAACTAGGTCAACCACGGAGGCATTTGCTTACAACAGGATGGAGCACATTTGTCACTTCCAAAAGACTGGTTGCGGGAGATTCTTTTGTGTTTCTTAGGTAGTTGGACCCAAATGATCTGACTTATTGTTCAAATTCAGGTTTCCATTTCTGCTTACAATTATATCGTATATGATGTTTAGAGGTGATAATGGGGAATTGCGAGTTGGGCTTCGGCGTGTTGCTTGTCAGCAAAGCTCCATTCCGTCATCTGTGATATCCAGCCAAAGCATGCATTTAGGAGTGCTTGCGACTGCCTCTCATGCTGTTTTGACACACACTCTCTTTGTTGTGTACTACAAGCCAAGGTTTGATCATTGCCTTCATTACTGTAAAGCCACGTGCTTGTTAATTGGTCATCAGATCCTATTTATCTTCAATTTACTTTCCGTGCTCTTCTGCAGGACGAACCAGTACATCATTGGGCTGAACAAATATCTGGAGGCTGTTAAGAATGGATTTTCTGTTGGTATGCGCTTCAAGATGAGATTTGAGGGAGAGGATACTCCTGAAAGAAGGTATCTCTGCCATATATTTTTGGCTACTGGTTTCATGGTTGTTTTAAGATAATTAATTCTTGTGGAAACTGTCTGATCAGGTTCACAGGGACCATAGTTGGAGTTGGAGATATTTCTCCAGAGTGGTCTGGTTCTATGTGGCGGTCGTTGAAGGTAGATTGCAGTTTTAGAATTTGTGTGTGAATGCTGACATATCCAGTGTCTTGTTTTTGATACTTGTTTCCCTTTTATTTTCCCACACAGGTTCATTGGGATGAACCAGCAACAATTCAAAGGCCAGCGAGAGTTTCTCCATGGGACATAGAGCCTTTTGCAGCTCCTGCTTCCCCAAATCTTACTCAACAGGTGGTGAAGAGCAAAAGGCCCCGATCCATGGATATTCCTACATCTGGTTTGTGGAATAATTGTCTTGGTTTCTCTATGAGTTATTTTGTCTATATTTTTTTAAAACTTTATGCACTAATTGGAGTGTAGAGATTACAACAGATCCAGCTGCTTCAGCTTTCTGGTACCATGGACCAACCCAATCTCGTGAGTTAATCCAACGAGGGAGTGTTACTGAAGTTCAAAGCTCTGAAAGCCATGTCTGGTCTATGAGGCAGAAGGATATTGATAGCAATCTCAATAATAGCGGTGGCTGTAACTCAAGGGGACCAGAAGGAATCTGGCCGCCTTCATCTCACATGAACGTCTCTCTCAACTTTTTTCCAGATCCAGCAGGGGACAACAAATGTGCTAAAACACAGTCTATTATCTCTGGTTTTGCCTCTTCTATATCAAGGCAAAGCAATGGCCTGATAAATGAGCAGGTGGAGGGGGGGAGGAAGTTCGAGAACTCTGTAGGTTGCCGGTTATTTGGAATTGATCTGACAAGTAACTCCGGCATTGCTGCTGTTCCAGAGAAGGAACCTGCATATCCAATTGTTGATTATATTGGAACCCAAGGACTTGTTCCAGCTTCAAGTGAGGCTGAGAAGGCTCAAACCATGGATTTTTCAATGTCCTCAAAAGAACAGAAGCAAGTTGTACCAGACACATGGGCAAAGGAGTCACAAAGCAAGCAAAGCTCCACAACTTCCACGAGAACTCGTACCAAGGTAAAATTTGATGTCCTCTTTGGCTCATCCCTTTCTGTCTGAGCTTGTGATGAATAAAATTTTGTTTCATTTTGAGAAGGTGAAAATGCAAGGGGTCGTTGTCGGCCGTGCTCTTGATTTAACTGTGTTGAAGGGGTACAAGGATCTTATAAATGAGCTGGAGAAAATGTTTGAAATTGGAGAACTTTCCATGCGTGAAAAATGGGCTATTGTGTTTACAGATAATGAGGGCGATACGATGCTTGTGGGCGATGATCCGTGGCCGTAAGTGATTTATAAATTCGTCTATTATCACTTGATTACCTTCTTTCCATTAAAACTGTAACTGGATTATTGAAATATATCTTATTAATTGTAGTGAGTTCTGTAAGATGGTGAAGAAGATATTCATATATTCAAGGGAGGAAGTAAAGAAGATGAACACACAATGCAAGCTTCCTGCATCTTCTTTTGAGGGTGAAGGGACTGTTATAAGCATGGAGTCGGAGCACAAGTCTGATGCATGAAATTCAGAAACCCTTTTGCTTTATACTGGGTTTTATTTTATTTTTGTTTTATTTAGTTTGGGTAAAAAAGGAGGAAGCGTGGTGCTTAAGTTTGCTCAGTTTTTTTGGGAGCTTGCACTTGTTTGGTAAGGACTGAAGGAGGAAAGTATTTTGGTCTCTAGGTAGCTGTAGTAGGGATTTCGTGTTTTTTGTTAAAGGTCAAATTAAGTCAGGGTTAGAACTGGTATTTGCGTATACCATGATTCTGGGTTGGCGAGGACTTTAATTAAGCAGCCTGTAAAAATTATATGTATGCGTGCTTGTGTTTTGGCTGGCAGTTGGTTCTTGGTTTCTTGCCAGTGGAAGCTGTGACTTGTTGCTTTCACTATTTACCATTTTCTGTGCCTACCTCAGGGAAAGCCAACAGAGAAGATGCCCTCATTTTCTTTCCTTGAACTCGCTTTATCTGATTTTGTTTTCTGGGACCATTACATTACAAGGTGTATGAGGCCCAAGGGTGTCCAGTGCAGTCAATGAGTTTTCAGGGTGTGATAATTGTCCTTGCTGCTGGTCCCAGAGAGGACCTTTCTTTGACAAGGACCCGTCTCTTGAGAATCCTGATTAATATCACATCTGATCCTAGAAACTTTTTATATGAAATCTGCTTTGAGAACTGGATGATAGTTTACGCATGGTCTGGCTCTCGGATTGGGTGGAAAGCACTTTTCGCCTTTTTATCTATCACGGGTAATTGCTCTCAAGTCTCAGCTAGCTGGGCTGTTAGTTACTGCTTGTAGTTTGTAAAAATGGTGGGTTTCCAATTTTCGCAGTTTAGTCGGTCAAGAGTCTTCCGCTCCCAAGTTCATGTTCATCTTTCAGGTGCCAGTATATATTTTCCGAGATGGTTTGGAAAATGTCCTTGCCAAGGTGATTTTCACATTGCCAGAACCATAATAGGAGAAACCGGGTTGGCGCCTTTTTTTTGCCCTTAGTTTGTCGTATGGGGGAAGGCAAGAGTTGTTCCCGTGGAGATTATAATTGTTACAATATTTACTGTATTATAAACAAAAAGAGAGTCTTTTGCCGAACGGTTGCATCTTATGCTGATCCATTCTCAGGATTGCTATGGTTCAACGGAGCCTGTTCTTCGAGACTTTAGAGCATTTATATCCATTTTAGCTGGCTAGTTAAAGGTCGCTATCACATCCATGCTCTCTGAACCAGAGTCATTAATATTATCTTATCAAACCAATCCCAGAACAAGATTGACCAACCAGAGTGAAATCAAACTCTCAAAACAATGTTAAGAATGAAAATTGACCGCCAACAATATTAAAAACCAACTTTGAATCATACCAATCCCAGAAATTGATGAAACAGACAAGATTTTGATTGCAAAGTGTATGATCACATGCCCAATAAACACAAACAAATCATTAAATCAGCAGTTTTAACTGTCAAGATCTAAACTTTAACGAAGAGACAAGCTTTCTCTGCCGAACACCATGCCAGGCTTCCACTACATGGCTCCTCACTAACTCAAGAGCTTAAAACATATCAACCTTTATTTCCAAAATTCAATTCATAACAAAAAATTAGAAGCCAAAAAAGTTGGCATTTACTGGATTGGCCTAGCTAAATATTCTGATAACTCCTTAAAAAGTTCACCCTCATTTCCAAGATTCAATTCAAAACCAGAAATCAGAACCTCGATTCTAGACTAAAATTAGAATTTGAATCCATAAGGTTGCCTCTGGTTTTGGAGAGGTCTGAGAAGATTTTTTCCATGTCACTTTTGTTTTCAAGAAACCTGAGAAGACCAAAAACCCATCTTTCATTCACCTCGGCCTATTAGGGTTTCACAGTCGGATTAATCACTAAAACAACAAAAAAAACAAAAGCCCATGTCAGTAAATAAATCAAAAATGAATATAAAAGGAGATAAAAAGATAAAAAACTGAATTGATTGCTTCACGATAGAGTTCCTCGGATGCAGAGATTACCACAGCTCCACCGGGTTCGGTCTCGATCTCTCATCTCCGGAGAAGTCGACCCCCACAACCAGCACGTGCAGACCAGGCTCTCCACCATTTCTTTCTCGCGCGAAAAGCTTCCTTTACCCCGCGAATATGCTCTGCAGTTAGAGAGGGATGCAGACAGAGCCAAAATAAAAGGCCATTTAGCTAGCACCAATGCTCCGTGAAAATTTATGGATGCTACTATAGTAAAGGAGTCAGGAAGCCAGGAAGGATGTGGATGCTTTTAGGCCCTAATTTCATACAAAATAAAAAAAACATAAATTGAATTCAATCTCTTTTTTTGTCTAAAGAAAGTTATACACTGAATTTTTCTTCTTCAATCTCGTAGTTTTAAACCTCGCAATTTATTTCATTTTGCATGTTATAGTGTATTATTGATGTTAATAAATATACTGATATTATTTATGATTGATGTTGCAAAATAAAATTTAATTATATTAATTAAAATAATTAAAATAGCAATGACTAGATTTAACATGATTTAACATGTGAAAAATTAGCTCTTTTCTTTTTAGTATTTATGGGATGTGTAAATTTATAGTTTGATTTTTGAAGTTTTTTTTTTTTCACTTTTTCACTTTATGTTTTGATGATTTCATGTTTCAAACCTAAATCTTATTTGTTTTAAGTTTTTGTGCATAGAATTTGAGAACAGAGTGAAAGTGTATGATTGACCGTGTTTTAGTAAAAAAAAATTGATATTAATATTAACATATTTATCTTGGATAAAGGGATTCAATTGATGTAGTGTTTTTCTTTGAACAACGCTGATTTATATGAAGTTGTTTTTTATTTGGTTAGATTTTGTTTTATTTAAAATGATTATAAGCTTTTTAGGATTTTAAGATCAGATTGAAGTAATTGGAATATTTTAAAGGTATTTTAATGTAAAAACATGTTAAAAATTAGGTTTTTGAGGTCTTAAAATTTAAACCTTGATTTTTTACCATTGAAAATCAAAAAAATCAATAACAAAATGACATGTTGTTTATCCAATTAAGTGGTGTATTGCCTGCTACATATAAAAAGAATGGATTGTTTATACAACGTAGAGGAAAAAAAACCCATACATGTGGATTATAGTTATTAAACTTTGTGTAGTTATAGTTGATGATATTCTAAAATTCAAGATAGGTAAATAAAATGTTATTTAGTGTTTGAGATAGTTGTTAATTAATATGTTTAAGCACTTGAATTTCTTTCTTTTTTTAATCCAAAGAACTCCAGATTTATAATATAAGCTTGAGTTAAATGACTTATGACAATAAATAACTTCAAATAGCTCTAAATTTAAGGAAAAAAAATGTTTGTTTTTAAGTTTTAAGTTGATTAATACTTTAAAATTTATATTTTTTTATTTTTAAAAAATAAAAAGTCCTGACATTTTACTTTGATGGTTTAAGAGGTACACCTCCTTAATCTTGTTATTTTCAGGAAAAAAAAAGACCAAAAAGTTTTATACTTTTAATGAAATTAATGGGAGATGAACATTTATTATATAACACTAATGAGATAGTAAATATGATAAGTCTCTTAAAAGATCTTATATACATCTATAAATATAGACATTATAATTTATCATGTTTTTAATATTTTTATTATAGATGGTCATCAATTTTCATGTATATAGCTTTAGAATTTAGTAATATCAAATTTTGTTGGGTTTGACATGTTCTCCAAGCACATATTATCTTGTCTAAATATTTTGAGTCATGAATGTTTACTAGATTCATATTATTTTATATTTGATTAACTATTAAATTTAAAATTTTTGGATCTGATATGTTTGCCAAGCCCATTTTATTTAAGATAATTTTTATCTATAAAAATTTTAACAAAACTATTAACTCATCTTAACTATTTTTTTTCCCATACTCACATTATATTAGTATAGTTTTAAACCTTATAATTTATTTGGTTTCATGTGCTATAATGTATTTGCGATTCTAATAAATATTTTAATATTAAATTAACATTTTATAAATTTTTTATTATAAGAACCAGATTTAATATTTAAATCAATCTAGTCTTCTTTTTTTTACTATTTATTGGGCACAGAAAACTATAGTTCAATCCTTGAAGTTTTTTTTTTAATTCTTAGATCTTATGTTTTGATGATTTCATGTTTCAGTCTCAAACTTCATTTATTTCATGTTCTAAACCCTAAAATTTAAGAGAAGAAATTGTTGGAAAAATAAAAAGAGAGAGTATTTGGTTGAAAATATTTCAGCTAAGGAAATAGCTTATTTTGACATAAACATGTTTTTTTCAACAAAAAAGATTTAATCGAGATGTTATTTTCTTTTATAAATGTAAAAAAAAAAGGTAGGATCAATAGGACTATAACATTTTTTTTTATTTGGTTAGATTTTTTCAATTGATTAAAGTTTTTTTATTTACTTTAAATGAATTTATCTTAATTTTTAGGGTATTTTTAAGATATTTTTCAGGTGATAAAGTCTTGAAACTCAAACAATAATTTTCCAACCATCAAAAATGACTTGAAAGTTAACTAAAAGATAATATATTATTTGTTCAGACAAGTAACATGCCATCTGCAATATATAAGAAAAATTAGGAGTGGATGCTGTGTTACTTGTCCATTGAAAAAAAAAACATTCATATAGCTATCCATTTCTTTTATTTTTTTTTGAAAAATATCTCTTTAAAACAATTTATTAAAATAATATTAAAATGTTTATTTAATTATTTTTTAGAAGATTAAGGCTTTTTATGATGATATTATTTATTGTTTTATAGATAATTATGACAGCTTATTATGGTTTTTTTTTTGTAAAAATAATTTTCTCATTAACATTGAATGAGAATCAACTAACTATTTTTTTTATTATAAGTTTTTATATAATTTTATATAATTTATTATTTTTATATTTCTTATATAGGTGCATGAAAATGACTAATTCATGATTTTTAATTTTTTTTAAATGAAGCTTGTTTTCATAATTGTAATAAAATTTTACTTAAAAAATGCTTTTCATAAGAAAAAATGTTTGTCAGAGTAAAAAAGAAACACATTAATAAGAGAATAAAGTTTTTAATTAATTTTCAATTTCATTTTACTTCAAACCATTATAGTTTTTGTGAATACTTTTTTTCTTATTGTTTTTACTTTTTGTTCAATAAACTATGCTGCTAATAGATAAATAATTTTATTGTCAGATTAAACAGATTGCATGAATTAGAAAAGATAATTTAAAAAAAAAAACATTTTCCCCCTTGTATTTTTGGTGTATACTTATTTTTATTATTGTATAATTAAATAGAAAATAAGTTCCATGAAAATTTGTGGGCAGCATTTAATGGAAACATCGCTAGCTTATTCTAAAAGAAGTAGTTGAAATGGAGAAGTAGGAAGGGATTGAGGTTAAAAAGTTGTAAAATCTGCTCGACAATGACATGGGAAGATTTGGGAGCAGTTTTTCTCTGTTTAAAAAGGATTATTTAATCCAAGTGGAAAGGGGATCTCCTGATCATCTTTTCATCGCGTGCCGCACGTTGTTGCAGCCTTTTCTCCGTTCATCTAATTAACCATGAAGGAGAACGGTAGAGTCAACCAGAGCTTGCGTCCAGTTTCCATACAAGTCGTGGTTGAGCTATTAAGAGGTTTAGTTCCACAAACATGATCTCTGTACAGATATTACCTCTATTGTTCCCAAGAATGCGAGAATATCCAAGCCCGACTTCTTATTTGATACCAAATGAGTTCCAAAAGGAATTTTGAAAAGATTTCTCCAAACAGTTTTAGTGTTTTTAGTTTTTAATCACTCTGCCACTTATATCCTACAAGTGTTGTTTTTTTCACTATCAGTTTCCCGTTTTTACCCAGAAAGAAAGAAAGAAAACGAAAACGAAAACGAAAACGAAAGCGATAAATGTAGCTGGATATTTGGTGTTTTTCGCAGCTGTTCAGGCCATCATTACCAACTATGGCTCTGCTGATAGGTGAAAGGCCCGCTGTCACCATAACTCTATACAGCATAAAAGATGATTCTCTCTATGCAATTTCGTCCTTTCTCTTTACATTTTAGCAGGTCACATGAGCATTAGTTAACTCTCTCTCTCTCTCTGTTTTTTTTTTTTTAAAGTTTTTTCAGCAATTTGAATGCTTATATGATTGCCAATTGTCATTTAATTGTCTGTTCATGGTTATCAAATGCCAGTCACTCCTTGAATAGGCGCTCGTGATTGATCTTGTTCCCCAAAAAGTGGCGTGGCTGGCCCAAAGAAATGCCATCACTAATAATTTAAATAGCTCATCGAGGAGATTTGTTCTTACAGCATAACCATTATGAGAATCATTCCAAGCTAGACATGTTGTTGGGTGGGAGGCCTGCAATATAATACACTTGCAAGAATATTATGTTGTTCATCGAAGGTATCCAAACACTTTGAATGGCAAGAGATCCTATCCTCCAAGAATATGCACTGAGCAACATGGATATTACAGATTCTTTCAAATGTCAAATGGCGATGTTACGAGGTCGGTGTGTTCTCGCGATTATTTTGGTTGAAAGGCTGAAATTTAGAAAATTTATTAAGATTTTGATGAACACATCTTTGCTGCAACATGTGAAGGATTATTGTTATAATCATTTGAGAAAAAAGTTTTAGTCTAAATTAAATCGACCGTGTCAAATACACTAATCAGTGGATGTGATTTTAAGTTGATTTTTAATGGAAAAATAAAGATGGCGTCACAGAGGCTTTTTTTATATCATAATTTTTAAAAATTAAATAGCAGAAATATAATGTATTTATTTAATAAAATGAATTAAAAAAATATATAAGAATTGCTGAATCAAATAACAATCCTTAATATTGATTAAAGATTGAAACGAGAAATTGATATTCCTTGTAAAAAACTAAAAAATGAATGCTTATACAAAGTTTTTATCTCGACCTTTTTTTATTTGTTTATTTTTGAGATTAATTTTAGTCATTAAATACATATGATTTTTGTTCTTATAAATGAACCATATAAATATAATTTATTTATTTAAAACTTGAGAGGGAAAAAATTAAAAAATTTCTTTGAAGTATTGTGAAATAATAAAAAAAGTTATTTTTTTTTTTGAAAAAAATCAGAAATGATAGGTCATTGTGCTTGTTTTAAAGAAAATAGCATGCCAAGTAGAAATTAAATTTACAGTCTTAGATTCAATCTCGCACATTTCAGCCAGCTAAGTTATAACACGAAGTTGTTATAAAACATTTTTTTGAAAAATATATTCACCTGATTTACGATCCATGTAAACTGTTAAAACGACCACATTTTTTAGTTGAATTTATAATGAGAGGGAATGGATTGTGAATATCCCGAATCTCTCGAGTTTAGTGTACAGCATTATAACATTTGGTTGCCTGGGGAATTTCTTGGACATCCTCTTTTGGGTGGGCTTTTTTGACTTAAATTAAGCTTTCATAATATTTGGGCCGCCTTGTTTGGTCCATCTGGCACATTAGAGCTATGGGCCCTAATGGTACTTGAGCCTTATCAACGAAGGTTTCCTTCGTTGCTCAAAATCATTAATTTTTTAGGTAATTTCCTTTGGGCCACCCATTGCACACCCACAAAAAAAAAAAAAGGTTTGAAAAGCTATGGGCTTGAGCAAGAATGAAGCAGGGCCTAACTAGGCCAGAAGCAGCCCAGAAAATCAGCTCTAAAGTAGTTGATGGGCTTGGTCGACATGTTCTTTACATTTCTGTCCTTGATAACTTCCATTAAAAAAGCATGCCGGCTGCCCAACTTGCTGTTGCTTTGATGGCTGTGGTAAGTGCTCAACGCTCAAATTATTATGCTCCCCACTTATTGTATCCTTGCCATTGATTGTTTATCCTATTAAGTTGTTTTTTGTTTGCATGGACAAGACAAAGGCAAATTATGCTGCTCTGATTTGCCCATCTGGATTTAGGATAAAAACACAAATGATTCGCGCTATGCTTTTCTGGTAAGAGTCTAGATTGAGCCTTGTTGCCCATTTTCTATTCCCCACTAAAATCCATGACGTTATAATCTTAAATTGCATATGCAACCAACAAAAAGTCTTGCATGTTGGGTAATTCTGGCTTGACTTTCTTTGTTTCCCTTCATCAGAATGATATGATTGAATGGGTTCCCACACAAACATGGAAAATCGGATCGCCGAGAATTGCTATACAGATGGGCTTCGTTTTCCATATGCTTTTTCACTGTGAATGAGAGCTGGAGACAGAGTCAATGGAAAGAGATAGGCACTCTGATATATGCTTTGTACGTGACCACCCTGTTCAGGGCTATGCTTGGGGGCATGCTTAGCTTCTTTATTATCTTGAAAATGACCGATACTTTCTTCGTTTCACTTTTGACTTTCGCGTTTATGGTGGCGGGTGCTGCTTCATTTCCATTCCTCTCACATTTTCCACTCGCTAAAAAAGCACTCACCTGACCTTGATATTAATTAAGAATAATATCCCTTCAATAATATATAGTAAACTCTGTTTTTTTTTAATCATATTAAGATGTATTTCTTAGTATCACCGGATTGAATCCTTATAAATGATATCAATTGATTTGGGAATACGTGTAATTGATGTAGAGCTCGAAACAGATTTTTCCCTCCTTGAGGTTGGTGTCGGCTAAGCAGCAGAAGAACTGTCAGCACAATACTGTGTGAGTTAGTTAAAAGACACAAATCACACCTATGTGTATTGCATTTCAATAATCCTGGGATACAAGTCATCTGCTTAAGGAAATGCGTAATCATACTCCAGAATGCAGAGGATCGACCTCACAACTTGCTGCATCTTCTTCGTCGATGTTGCCTTTCTTAAGTCGCAAGGAAATATATTTTTGCAAGCAGAGAATCCTCAGAGCCCTGCACTCGAAAATAACAGGCGCCATTGGCCCGAGGAAAGGGTTGGGAAAATGGTGGTCTGATGGAAAGTAGTGTGGCCCGGTATTAGATGTACCAAGTAAAGTCCAAGAAGTCATGTCTTTGCAAAGAGATTGTCTCTCTCTCTGGCATCCGATGCTTGCCCTACTCAACGTAAAAATCAGGTGTGCTCTTATGCGTTGAGATCCTGACACCTAAAAAGTTGAGATTGGCTGACATATTTGAAATGTGTTACATTTCTTTATTTTGAAAAGAAAAAAAAAAGAAACCATAAAATAAATAGAACACTTTAGTCTTTACAAAGTCACTCTCAAGGCTAGCTGTTCTCATTTACAAAAACAGTTTCTGGTCTAGTGCTTTCACTGTTTTTTTTTTTTTTCCAATTTAAAATGAGAGGGCAGGTTTTGTTTCAGAATCAGCATTAGATAATGCATATGCAATTTAAAGGATATTTGGTATTCAGGGACATATGTTTTTTTAAGTATTTTTTTTAAATATGTTAAAATATTTTTTTTAAAAAATTATTTTTAATATTAATACGTCAAAGTAATCTAAAAATAAAAATATTATTTAAAATAAAAAATATTTTTTTTAAATGCTTTTTTTAAAAAAAACATATATTACTAGTAAGGTGTCCTTTCACTTAATTCCCATCGCTTTTTTTCTTTTCTCCTCCAAAAGATAAATATGACGGGCCAGCTCTAATAAGAATATTTGCTCGTGATAGATCCATCACTAATTTTACCGAAACCTCATTAGTCGTATGAGGCTACGGGGAGGGTAAACACTAGACAGCAAATGCAGATTCAGAAATGGTCCTACTGTAATCTTTTCCATTTAATGAAGACAACGATGACTAAAAGAAGTCTGCCCCTTACCTGTTTCTTTTCCCCATTGTCTCCCTAGTACAAAAAGGTCACACCCCTTGAAGCACAAACAAGTCGCTAGATATAGGCACTTTGAGAGAGAAATGGAATCGGAGGCAGAAGAAGAGCCACGCTTCACACCACCAAGGTCACTGCTAATACCAAAACCACGTGCATATGGACCTAGACAGTCACCGGAAAGGTCAGGGACACTAACCCCACCACTCCACACTTCAGCATCTGTCCCATTTCGGTGGGAGGAAGAGCCTGGCAAACCCAGGGAATATTGCACCACCCTGATCTCCAGGCCCATAGACTTCCCACAAAAGTGCCTAGAGTTACCTCCGAGGCTGTTAATAGAAACCCTACCTTCACCCACCACAGTCTTGGAGGGTCCTTACTCGGGGAGGTCATCAAGATTTCAGTCTTCTTCGTTTAGAATAATCAGATCAAGGGAATATAATTATGGGTCCTTTCGCAGGCGTGGTAGTCCTGAGAGGGGTCAGCTTGGCACCATAGCTCCTAGCAAGAGGAGAGTCAAAGAGAAAGGCGGGTTTTTGGGTTCTTGGAGTTGGGGAAGGAGGGATTTGAAGGGTAATAGAGAGGCTGGTGGGGGTAGTTATGTCTTTCCATCTTCGGGTGATAGAGAAGCTGCCGATCAAAGCAGCAATGAGGAGGAAGAGATGGTCAGTAGCAGCGACAAAGTCAAGATGACAAGAATGAGTAGGTCAGGGAGTTTTTCTGCTGTGTCCAATGCCAGGTCTCAATTCTGGGTTAGTTCCAGTCTTAAACTCTTCCTCAATTTCCTTGGTTTGATTTTATGCATGTGCGATTCTTACTACGAATCCTCTTTCTTAAAGTAAAGAATAGCGTTGATTTTGTCGTGTTAGGAACTAGAAATTTTCCTCTTGTAATCTCTTCATAATTAGTCAAAAAAACATTACTATTCTTCTTTTTTTTCCTTGTTTTACATACAAAACTAGCTAGCCTTTCACTTCTCCAAAGTTTAATGAATGAGTTTGTGACATAGCGAAACAACAAAATTATACAGCCTTTAAAGGCCATCACTGAACAACTTTAATTGTGCTGATAAGTAGAGCAAATAATTTAGTAGAGGTCCCATTTACACCACGCCAGCCGAGGCAGCTTCTATGTGCGACAATGATAGAGGAGGTTAGAGTGGGTTCCAAGAGTGTGGTGAAGTATAAATTTCAGCGTGCACAGTGTAACCTTTCATTACTACCACTTAAAGAAACAGTTGTTCTCCCATTTTGCAGGCGAGTATTTATGGGGGCTTGAAGCACGTCGCGGGATGGAGGCGTAAGAAACTGAAGAAAGACCACGGGTTTGTGAAGTGCAGGGTGGACATGTCCAATTAAATATCTGTTAACCGCTAAGGATGGTCCTGTATCCTATCGACCTTTTTTATTTCTCTGTCAAATGAAAATGGCGTTTTTATTATGGTATTTCCCATCATCACCCCTTGCCTGTTCTCCTGCTGTGCTGTCAGCCTGTCATCTGCATCGTTTTTGGAAGGGCCTGACCTTAAACTGCAACCTTTTTTCTGAACTGTGGGGAGAGCTTACTGGACGTTTTAGCCGAGTGGTTGACGAGGGCAGCAATTTGGTGGTATCGTCAATGTACGAGTGAAAGCTTTTCTTTCTTTCTTTCATGAATAGCAGTAAAAGCGTTTTGTAAAGACTGAAATGTACTAAAGGTAAGTTTTCAAAGAAACTATTGCTGCGATTTACCTTAGAATCATTAAACTGTAGTTGAAATTTTCTCGGGGGTGAACCTGGCTTATGAGGACGACTCTGCATGCGCTGCCTAATTAAACCAGCAAGCTTGACCTTGGTGATCTCTGGTGAAGCTAAATTATCAACTTTTACAAGCTAAACTTGTTTGAAATTTAATTTAGGGGAGTCACATTAAACATTTTAGAGCAGCATCCTTAAAATCATGCTGGCGCGCTCCGCCGTCAACTTTCAACATAAGAAAATAGAACAAGAAATTACGAGTTGATCAGTTTGCCTCGACTGGGCAAACCAACGGCAACACCAATCTGTATAGGTGGTAACATCTTTGACTTTGTCTCTCCATGTTAATCTGATCTGATGAATCCCAGAAACAATTAACATTTTGGTAATCTATCATTGCTGTCAGTAACAGTGGTTAGTAGCTTACCAATATATCATTAACGTTAATACACATAGAAAGCAATTCATTCCTGCGGACGAAAATATTTAGCGGAAGAGGGAGCAGCGGTACTTAAGGAAGCTTTGATTAACGTGTTCAATTAACTCAGACAAGAAAATGGTGGGAATACCCACAGCGCAAATTCTACCGTAAATTACATAAGTATATTAACAATAATGATAAAAAATAATTTAATTTGTTGTTTTTTAATTAAGAAATTGAGCACATTCAGACTTATTTTATTGTCTTTATTTTATTTATTGAGATTATTTATGTTAGATAATCTTAATTTGTTTATTTGTTTATTTAAATTATTTATGTTAAAAAATTTAATTGAAAAGCTAAACAATTAGATGTTTTAAGGTTATGGTATTTATATATTTCTCTTTTAGTTTGTGAGATAATTTGGATGAATTTAATAAAAATCACAAATTATTCCTCCTCTGAACTCTAATCTTCCTAGCTTTTCTTTCATTGCTTTTAATTTATTTCTAGTTCATTGTCCCATGTCAATTTTAGTATTACAGCATATATTTTTAATTGTTCTTATAATTAATTAATTGATTTATTATGACTTGCGTTGAATCATAATCAATTATTGATCTAGACTTGAAAAAAAAATTATTTAATCCTTGTTTACGGTAAAAAAAAAAAATCATTGTTCATCTTCAACACAAATCTAATACCCTAAAACCCTAAACATAGTACCAGCCACTAAAAAGCAAATTAAACTCTTCTAATAGTGCCACCACAATAGCTTTTAGTAGTGCCTCCAACACTTCAAATCATCATTTACTTTTTGATTTGTCAAAATTTACTTTTCTGGTTTTACACTTGTCATTTAAAGTTGTTGATGAATTGAATAAAAATTGCGAAGTTGTAGACTTTTCCAATCCTATTCTTCTTTTTGTCTTTTTCTTCTTAGCTTCTTCTTTTCTCTCCTTTTAGCTTGTCATTTTATCTTCAATTCTCTTTTATCCCACGTCAACTTATTCAATTTTGTATTTTGATGATATTCTTATTTATAGCAAATTTAAGAAAGAACATTTAAATCATCTTATTCAAGTTTGCACCATCTTTAAAAAAAAAAGTTTATTTATCAATGTCGAAACGTTTTCTTAGAATTTATCGTGTTATATAAGGAAGTCTCTGCTATTCCCAAAAGGTCCAAATGATTGTAAATTGGCACAAGCTTAAGAATATTCACAAGGTTTATAGTTTTCTTGGACTTATGACTTTTTATCATTGTTTCACCAAGGGATTTGCCACCATCATGTCATTTATTACAAATTATTTGAAACAAGGTGAGTTTCAATGGAGTAAATGAGCTAATAAGGCATTCAATGATGTTAAAAGAAAGTGACACAGACCCTAATAATGCGGCTTATTGACTTTACTAAGGTGTTTGAAGTAAACTATGATGCCTTAAAAGTTGATATAAGTTGAATACATAGTTATAAACGTCATCCTATAACTTACTTTAGTGAGAAACTTAACAAAGCCAAAGTACTGAAACTGTGATAAAGAATTTTACACAATAATTTAGGCATTACGCTATTAGTGATATTATTTGCCACCATAAGAGTTTGTTCTTTATTTCAACCATAAGGCCCTCTAATATCTCAACTTCTAAAAAAAATTTCACCATAGATATGGTCGTTAAGTTGAGTATTTGCAAGCCTATTCATTTATATTGAAACTTGAAACATAAATATGGGATGAAAAACAAGGCCATGAATGTTTTGAGTTGCCTGATAGTGTTATTATTAGTAATGAGTAATGAAGTTACTAGATTTAAAATACTTAAAAATAAGTATGAATCTTACCCAAAATTTGAAAAGATATATATGATTTTAAGAAATTAAAGTAATTATGTTATAGATGGTTATTATCTTTATGAAAGATATTTGTTTCAAGATAATAAGCTTTGTGTGCCGAAGACATCAATATATGATTTTTTAGTATGGAAGATTCATGCATATAGTCTTTCAAAACACTTCGAAAGAAATAAAACCATTGAAAAGGTGAAATACTAATTCTTCTGGTCTGGCTTAGAAAGATATATAGCTAAGTTGGTAGGTTAATATCGAACATGTTAACTAGTTAAACATAAAAAACAGAACATTAATCTTTATACCCCCTTATCTATTCCCATTTGACCTTAGCAAGATATAAATATGATGGATTTTTTGCTCGAGCTTCCACGTCTTGCAAAGAAGCTTGATTATATCTTTGTGTTTGTCAAATACTTTTCTAAGATGACCCATTTTATCTCCTGTACCAAAACTATAGATTTTTCTAGAATTACAAAATTCTATTTTAACAAAATTGTTAAGTTGTATAATCTATCCCAAATCATAGTCTCATACATGGATATAAGATTTATTTCTAGCAAACCCTTTAGCATATAATGGAAATTAAGTTCAAGTTTTTTAGTGCCTACCACCCCGAAACCGATGCCTATCACCCTTGAGCTGATAGTCAAACTGAGATAATTAATAGAAATTTAGACAACCTTTTGAGATGTCTAGTAAGTTATTATAATAAAAATTAGGTTTTGTTTCCTCCGACAACCTAATTGGTCTATAATACATCCTTTAATAGGTTCATAAACATGAGTCACTTTGAAGCTATACATGATTACAAGCCTAGAAAGTCTTTAGACCTTTTTCCCATGTCTTTTTATGTTAAGGTGTTTAAGTTAACCGAGTCATTTGTACATAAAGTTTAAGATTTGCATGTTAAGATCACAAAGAAGATTCAAGCAAATAATGTACAATATAAACTTTGAGGTGATTTTCGTAGACGACATAATGAATTTAATGTTGGAGATAATGTTATGATACAAATTAGACTTCTTTGAGAACTAATAAAAAATTACATGCACATATTGCTAGTCGACACTTGCTTAATCAAATGAATCATTCCTGCTGTTTCCCTGTCATGCCTGCAAGAACGTGCAGAAATGCAAGATATCGATACTCAAAAACAGAAAAAGGAAGAAAAGCATAGTTGGAAATCCTCATGAAGATGGTTCATGGATATCAAATGCCCTTTGCACTATCACAAAATTGGCTTAGCTCTTTGATGCCCAATTTAAGGACTGCACTTTCCTAATTCAACAAGATCAGGAAAACAACAGAATCCAGCACACAACAGGTCCCGACAACGTAGTGAAAACACTCTGAGGCTTTGATAATTTCATCAGGTTTGTGTATTCTTCATCTAAAAATAATCATAAAAACTTAACAAAAACAAAACATGTGGTGGAAAACTGAAAATGCAGAACCAAACAAACTTTTGTTTAAGTATGCAAACAATCAATTAGCTGTAACCCAATCAGACCCAGAATAATTGTTTCCTCAATTAATTTATTATATCAAAATGTTCATGATCGGACAAGATACTCCTATTTCAACTTAAATGAGCAAGTCGAGACACCACGGATTTCCAACAAAACAACAATGCTTGTAGCAAGGTTCATTTTAAAACAAGGATAATTACTGCATGAATAATATGCCATGTTCAAGCAATACTAATTACTAAAATTATCCACAGGTTCTAGAGTTTTAACACCTAAAACAAGAGCTCAGTTATGCATACAAGTATGAAACACGAACCACCCAAAAGTAGTACAGAACTAAATATTTATCCCAAAAATAACGAACCATAAAACTAAGCACTCACATCACTAATGGAAGGCTGCCTTTCAGGGACGTGCTTCCTTCCTTCTAAGGAATCCAGCATATGGGCTTCACAGCAGCTAGAAGGAAGAGACCTGAAATTTTCAAAGAGATTAAAAAATCCATTACTAGAAACAAAATGTTGACAGTACTGAGGATTTTTTCATCTGCCAAAAAAAAAAAATCAAGCCTTTATCGCATATAAATAAAGCAGGATGGTGTCTTTGCATAAGGTTTGTCCAGCTTATAAACAACAGCACCACATGGATCGGTAGAATGTTTCAGTTGCAGCATGCACATTAGTAGAATTTTGCAGTATCATTCTCAGCCCCAGAAATATTCTTTAGTCAGGGGGTGAGCAGCTACGCCACAGCTTTGTAGAGTTGGATTTAGCTGTGAATTTCAATCAAACTATAAATATTCAATAAAAATAACGAAAACTTCATGGCTTGGAGAAACCCTAATACTGTTTTGGTACAGTTCACACGAAAAAACCACCAAACACGAAATTGATTGTTCTACAATTTCATTAACTAATTTATCTTATCTTACCGAACCATGATCATTAATTGAAGCACGGAATTGAGAAGACGAAGAACAAACAGCCACCACCGGATCTTGCGCTACAAACCTTCTCAACTTTTCCATCACCAGCATTTCTGTTTCTCTCTCTCTCTGTCGCCAAATTTCTGGTGTATTCTATCAGTTAAGGGATCTTTGAAGACGAGATCCTTTCTCTCTTGTCTTTTGTCTGTAACTTTATCTTCTTCTGAAGCTGGATGGACCCCCGAATGTTCAGGATCGCTGGAATTTTATATATGCCATTCTCCTCAAAGCCCAAAGTAAACTCCACTTAACTCAGCAGAAAATGTTTGAGAATATTCAAATATTCAAATAATTAAAAAATATATTAAAAATATTAATAAAAATATTAAATTTTCTTGAATTTTTTCTAGGCTGTATTCTCAAATGAGGATGGAGATAAAAAGGTCAAAATAACTAGTGTGTGTAAATAAAAAATATATATTTATTTACTTTTAAAATTAGATTTAGTAAAATCTCTGAATTCATTACTATTTGTTAGAGAATATGATATAGGTTACTTTTTAAAATATTTTTTTATTTAGAAATATATTAAAATAATAGTATTTTAGTTTAGTTTTTAAAATTTATTTTTGATATTAGCATATTAAAACCATCCAAAAAAAACAAAAACAAAATGAAACTAAAAACAAAATTCAATTTAAAAAAAATTACTAAACACCACTTTTATTTTCAAATTTCAATCAGTTGGCTATCATTGTCGGAACTCTTTGTAGATAAATTGTAAGGCAGCTTATCAAACTGCATTTGCACAAGTTTTGAGTAAAGAGGTCAGGCAGGTATCAATGATGATGATATTTTCGTGATCATCAACACCACCACAATATTCGCTGGGCATTGTCCATTATCATGTTTTCTAATCTTTTAGAACAATTTGATAGGTGCCAAGCCGGAGTGATCCTGAGATACCTGGGATTACAGTTGAACATACACATGAAATCAAGCAAATTAATTAATAAAACAGAGAGTCAGCATTCAGGTTAGAAGGGCAAGTTAGCCCTGAACCTTGAAAATTTTCATTTCCATGACCACACATGAACGCATATTTATATCGGAATTTACAGTTCTCTCAAACCGAAAGCATTACAGCACACCACCACCAAATCATGAATCCATTTCGCCAAATAAGAAACAGGGTGGATTCCTGAGAAGAGGCAGGCCGTGCCGTTACTAAAGAGGCTTTCTGCTTGAGTTTTTGAGGCTCACACCAAGCCACCCACCCGCCATGTTTTACTAATTACCACAACATTGAAGCAAGAGAGGGAAATAGCAGCAATACTGCCGAATCGTTGCTATAGATAAATTGAATATACAGATGATCACCAAGAGAGATAATTGATGAGATCTTCTAGTGCCAGAACACGTTCAACCCAGCATATACACATGAACAACTCCTCACATCATCTATACAAGAGGTAACATCAAGACGAAGAAACAAATACAAAAAAAAAAAAAAAAAACTACTTACATATGGAAGCAAATGTAACGCAATCACTCTCCCTTGTAAATCAATTTTCACAAGTGAGAATTTTGGCTGGTGATCTAGAAAGGCAGCATCCAACCCACAGTCCATCCCAGCAGCAATCCAGCACCAACAAGACTCAACCCTAATGCAAAAGCAACAGCATACGCGCCCATGTCATGCTTCGGATGACATCGCTTTCCTCGTTTACCCTTGGATGACTTTTGCCAACTCTTGCGCAGTTTCCTACCTTTCCGAGGAATCCATGGAAGAACTACAGGGAAGATATTAGACATGGGCTGATCGCTATTCTTCATCTGGTAGTAAAGGGTTTCGAGCTGCAACAGTTGGAACCACTGCTTATATGCAAAAAGTTGAGAGGCTTGTTTGAAGAAGAGTTTGATAGTATGCTCCTTCTCAGCACAGGCTTGCTTTGCTACCTTCTCAGCTTCCCTTGCACGTGTCTGAGAGTGACGGAGTGCTTCCAATAGTTGAGCCTTGCAAGGATCACCCTGAGAAACTAGTCCAATTTCTGCAGTTTCCATATCGGTTTTCGTAAAACTGTATTTCAGGTTGCAGGTCAGGGATTTGAACACCATGGATGATCAGCAGATACATGCACATAGTAGAATTGACATAATAAACAGCTACATTAGCTTGACACATAATAGCAGAGAAGTAGTGCAGTAAAATAGGACATGTGTAGCAGTATTGGGCCAATAGATTGATGCATTTACATATCAGGCAGACCTATTCAAGAACAAATATCACCAGATGATACAAGCTAAGAAAGTACTTGGATGACTGGTCAGAACCATGCTGTATTTGACCAATAGATTGATGCCTTTGTATATTGTACAGAACTAATGGATAACAAATATCACCACCAGCTGATGTGATCTAAAAAAATACCTGCATGCCTTGTCAGAATCACTTTGTGATAACCTGTCAGTTGAAGCACTTTGTTTTCCAGGCATGCCTTCAAATTTGGGACAGCCCTGTACAGGATCAGTTGCAGAGGAGATGCAACCGCTTTGTTCCTTCCAATCCAAAGATGATGCTGGTGTATTATCATGCTGAAAAGATCCAGGGCGAGCACATGGGTATTTCCCGATGTTCATCTTCTGAGGTGGGGGGAGGTCACAATTCGTAATGTAATCGAGTGACTTCTGTGCAACCAAGGAGGCCAAGTCATCTTTATCTGTCACTCGCCACCATGGCATGTTCTTTTCACCCCCAATCCAAGCAGATTCTGGATCAAAAGCATACTCACTGTCCTTTTGTGATATGGGCCATCCGGTAGGTTCTATCTCCGTCGACTTGGAGTTCTTCCTTGCACCCTTAAGTTCTTTAAATTCTTGAAAATCCTTGTCATATAAAACTTTTAGCTCTTGCTTCTTAACATCATGATCTTTCATCACATAATCAGCAGGGATCATACAACATGAATCAAGAGAAGACTCGCTATTCTTGCTGCCATCCACAAAAATGCTATCTGTGTCATCTTGTTGGCAAAACTTGCTTTTAGAAGGTGAGTCTACAATGTCAGCTCTCAAGCTTTCCAACTCAGCTTCTAAGGCATTCAACTGCTCAAGTGTAAAACATTTTTGGTAACCATAGCTAGGCTGCAGTTGAAGCCACCATCTTGTATCGGGGGGTAGACTGGAATATGAGGGGTACCTTCTGAGAGGCATGAAACCTCCAGAAGATTGATCTGGCATATCTTGTGCACTTGTTGGTCCGCCATCCAATTGCTTAGATGATGAAGATGATGACTGGCAGCAAGCTAGCTTGGGAGCTCTTTTCGCATCTTCTTGAACAAAACAGCGATTAGCCGTTCTTTGCCATACAGCCCTGGCTTCTGCTGCTGCCATCCGTGTCTTTTATTTCACACATCGACTATTTATAAGAAACTTTGATCACAATTCACCTACATAAGAGTACAAATTCTTTTTCAGCTCTACAGACAATGAAGCTCAGAAGTGGAGGAAAATTTTGGCAGTTCAAATGCAATGGAGAATAAAGAGTCCTCTGGAATTAGATAATTTCAATAACAGCAAACATTAAATCATGCTCAGATACCAATTAATATAGGAATCAGTATTTTGGTACGCGTAATCAATGCTTATCCAAAGAAAGCATTGAACTGGAACACCCCCACACTGATACACAGACAATAACGTGAGTAGGACAAGCTTGTAGAGGATTCAAACGTTCTCGAGGAAGTTTTCATTATATAAAGTGTAGTGGCGAGACTTCAGAAATACGAGACTGGTAACTAGAATCAGAGATTATACAAGAAGCTTTGCACAAAAAACTAGAGCATGCTGCTAAAACAATAATTGAACATAGGAGTGGATCTCTATTATATAAAAAGAGCAAATGAAACCAATGGCTAAAGCAGGCAACAAAACAAAACGATCTTATCATAGGAGATCCATCCACAAGAAAACACTTAGAAGATGCAAAATTCTTCTGGATGTCATGCACAATTAAGCAAATTCCTTTCAAAAGCAGTAGAAAACTTCCAAACTTTAAGCAAGGAATGCGTAGGTGCTAACGAGACTTGCAACTGTATGATTGGATGGAAGCAAATTGAGTGAGAGAAAATTTCATGAATCCCGATAAAGTGACACATAAACACTCTCTCTCACACACACCATCAACTTATTATCCCCAAAGCACTCGCTAAGCGTCTCTTTTACAAAATCATACACTAAAACTAACACAAGGTGGCTAAGGATAAGGATTACAGTAAATTTCAACGAGATTATCTCACATTATTACATGTAGAAGAAGCAATATCAAAATCCTTCAAAGAAAATTAAAGCATGAACACTAGATTAAGAACAAATAACCATAAAATCAAAACAACAAAAATACCGAAGAAATAAACTAACAAATCTGCCTCAATGTTACCATCCAAGTAGCAGCAAACATATCCAAAGTAACCAACCAACTAGCAGAATAATAATAAATAAAGCAAACAAATAAACAAAGCGAGAAAAGGATGAGTACAAACCTGAGAGAGAGAGAGAGAGAGAGAGAGGATGTGGAGATTGAATCAGTCAAAAAATTGAAAGGAAATGATATGAGCAAGTGGATGAAACTATTGTCTGCCTGCGATATATTATTGTCCCTAATCAGCAGGCAAGCAGATCTAATTGTATTCAATTAACTGAGTACTCACAGCAGACAGTTTTAAAATCATTAAGAGGATGAAACGATCCGTTTCGATTCGATTCGATTCGATTGTACTCGTCAAGCCAAACAGATTGAATCCGATCAAGTATTTTGTCAGGTTTTCTTTCAGTTATCATTCTCTACGATACCGTCTTCCACATTCTTCTCTCTACTAACCCAGCTACTTTTCATTAAAGTCATCTTAAACGGCTCCGTTTCTATATGTTCCTTCTTAACAAGCGTGGCCCACGTTTCCCATTGTGGCCCGAGGAGTTACTCCGTTCTTCTTGCTGGTGGTTTTTCTCCCATGGTTATATTATACAAGTCAAGCGGTTATCCATCCTTAACACGTGTCAGTTGATTAAGACGGCAAGTCGGCAATTGCCTAGGTGGGGTGTGGGTCCACCCCTTATTTTCGAGATAAGACCTTCCATCTTTATTTGGCTGACCACCAAATGATAGGGCCGCGCAGGGATAGTCCAACCCCACAAGCCTTTCGACTTCACCTAGGCCTAAATAAAAATCCACTACAGGTACGCTACGATGATGCTAGGAAGTGCAGTAGTTGTCTCTTAAAATAATATATTTTTTTAATTTTAGATATTAATATATTAAAATAATTTTAAAATATTAATTTATTAAAATAATTTTTAAATATAAAATTTTTTTCATTTTAAAAATATTGTTTGAAACGTATTTTTAAACAAATGTGGGGTATTTAAAAATATAGTTATACTTATTTTTAAAGTGATTTTTACTTGAAAATAGATTAAGATAATAATTTTTATTTTTTTAATATTAAAATAATTTGAAAACATAAAAAATATTAATTTAAAATAAATAAAATAATTTTTTTAAATAATTTTTAAATATAAAAATAATCCTTTGCTACAAAGCCAATGAACAGAATTAGTTTCCTTTTACTTTTTTTTATCCACGTCCCAAAATAATAATAAAAAACTTCCGCCTGTTTTCCTTTACAATTAAGCTTGTCTTTTTATTTTTCATATGACTAGATTATATCAACAATGAGTCGGTGTAATAGTAAATGAGTTTTTCTTATAGAATATTTGTTAATGAGTTGAGAATTCAAATCTCAGTTGTCGCAATTCTAATTTTTTAACTCCAATATTTGTGTTGAAAAGAGTGAAATAATTTATAAATAAAATATATGCTTAACCTTTTTTTAACTGAACTTAAAATAAACAATTCATGATTAAATTGATATAATTAAGAGAAAAATTATTTTTTTGTTGTCCTTAATTCATCACATGGAAACCCTTTTACCATTTGAAACATCAGGTCTCCATAGACTAAAACAAGAGAGTTTGAGGAAACAAAAGACATGGAATTTTTACTGTTGTCATATATTTAATTGTCAGATTAAAGAAAGTGTCAAGAAACTTGAAAAACGACAAGGCCAATTTTAAAATCAAGTCGCTCCACTGCTCTTGCACTGGATGCACTGTAATGATTAGGGGTTGTTTTACTGTTGTAATAATAAGTGTTTTTAAAGTATTTTTTCAATTTAAAATATATTAAAATAATATTATATTTACTTTTTAACCTGTTAAAAACAATAAAAAAATAAACTGAATAAGAGCAGATGATTAAAGAGTAGCACACGGGATAGGTATCCCGGGAGCGAGTGAACATTGTTTTCGGGCAGGGTACGCGGTTGCTTGGATTCACACTTCTGTAAGAAACCAGGTTTTCGATTAGAAAGAGTGCTCATTAATCATGTGGCGGGCTGTGATTGGTTAGAGGGAGAGAAATTCAATATTCAAGGCAGATGAAGCATCTACCTAAATGCAACAAAAGCATGTTAGAGACGGAGCTCCCAAGATTAGAATCAGAGAGCGGTCCACCGAGATCGGGAGAGTCGTTGTAGTTGGTTTTAAAATTATTTTTTATTTAAAAAATATTATTTATATTTTAAAAAATATTTTTGATATTATGGCATTAAAATAATTAAAAAAAATTAATATATATTTAAAACACGAAAACAAACAACCCCTAATTGTATTATCTTATGCTTTTATGGCTAGTAGTTGATTACGTGGCACCCGTCATCAGTCACATCATCATGAAGTACGAAGATGCTGCTACGCTAATATCAAGGCAAGTTAGGCTACAAATCACACGCGTTATCCCACTCATAGACACTCCTCTCTGCCACTCCCACCTCTCCCCTTCTGATGTTATTTTATTTTATCCTATCTGGTTTGTTGGTATCACTCTTTTTCGTCTTTTCTTTTTCTCCCATCTCCTAGAATTTAAATATCGCATTTCTAAGGGTGGTGTTTTCAAATACCGTATTTGAAAAGTATATATTTTAGTAATCTATGCTATTTTTCAAAATAAAATAAAATTAACCTATGTTATCTGAAAGGGATGCATTTTAAAAAAATATATATCACGTAGGAGATCCCAGGAAAATAGCCACGGAAAGTTCATTCATGCTGGCCATGGCACGTTGGCGATAACCAGGAATAATTTTACACGATCTCCACTTCCCCACGAGCTGAAATCTTTTTTAATATAAGAAATTAAAGTATGGAAGCTTTTTAATATATTTTTTATATGAATTTTTTCAATGTAAATTAAAAATTTTATCTACACATCTAATTAAATAAATTAAAAATTATCTATATCAATAAAAAAATCATTAACATATACTAAAATACACAACTGAAAAAATCAATAAACATATATAAATTAAAATATTTGATCTCGTAATATATTTCATTTACTCGAGTTGTTTTTAATGACTATTTATTAAAATTAATTTTTTATTTAATTAAATAATAGTAAAATTGATTAAATAAAAATCTCGTAAAAAAATATACACATTAAATTGTTTAAATAAAAAAGATCAGACAGAGTTTTGTACTTATTGAAACACTATCCAAAACTATATTTTTTGAAAAAAATTATTTAGATAAAACATAAAAATTTATATATATGAATTATAATAATCTCTTCAAAAATTATATATATGTTCAAAAATCTAATTTTAAAATGACTAATAAAAAAACCAATTAATTTAAAAAATTAAAAATTAAAAGGGAAAAAATAAAGATGTCAAGCATAGTTGCGCTTAACAAGCACATTTAATTTGTTTGAAAAAGATCTGCATTTTAGCATTTATTTTTTAAAACATGCTAATGTAAAGAACAATATATTATTTGTCTCAATTGTTTTTGAAAGAAAAAAAAGCAGTAAAGGATGTGTCATCTGTGTTTCCCTGGATTCTAGCCATTATGATACCTAAAAAACCAAGGTTTATAATTTTTTTATATAAAAACTTTTTTTTTTTACCTTAAACACCTAGAAAAAACCATTAATAACTTTAAAAACTACACAAAACTTGAAATAAAAAAAACTTTCTAAATTTAGATTTGTTTTTTTAGAAAATATTAAAGTAAAAAAATATCTAAGTTAAACTCCCCTTGCCAAATGAAACATGTTGACACTAAAATAAATTATTTTAATAATTAAAATTAGTGTTAACATGGATTTTCTATTTATTACTTGAATCTAGTGTTTTTTCTCCTCTCTTAAATCAAAGATTAAAAAATAATAAAAATTATTTTCTATACCAAAATAAAATTGCAAAAAAATAGGGATCAAATGAATAGAATTTAGAAAGTTGAAGGACTAAACTGGGCTTTTTCATGAGAACCTTGAACCCACCATTTATTTTCAGCGTGTTTTTCACATTGAACTTTGTTCTTTCAATCTTGTCCCTGGTCAATAAATTTGAATAAATTATCCTTTAATTTGGCCTCAAAAGGATGCAATCATGCAAGAAAAAAAGTTTTAAGTATCAAAAAAAAAAATCACAATGAAATACAAGATGGTGAACAACGCTTCTTTCTATAATAAATTTCTTATTTTTGTACTTGAGGACTCAATTGAAACTGTAAATTAAGTTGAAGACCCATTTTAATAGATAAATTTTGTAATCAAAATTGAACTCGAGTTTTGGGCTGGTGAAACCCACAATTGCTCATGAATTTTTATTTTCTTCTTCTTTTTCGATAAATGCTTATGAATACAAAACATAGAATTCTTCTACCTGAAATTTGGATTGGCCGTACCTCATAGTTGACTGGCATTTGGGCTCTGAAAGTGAAAGCATGAGAAAAGTGATGCCATCCCACTTGGGCTGAGTGACAGAAATGCTAGAGGGTGCTTCTAAACTTGCACGGCTGGAACTGAGAGCATTAGTGTCGCTGCAAATCAAAAGTAAAAATAAATCCCTCTCGGGCTCCTGCAAAAACACAGGAGAAGATGTTCAAAATATTTTTTTTAAAAAATTAATTTTTATATAAATACATTAAAACAATTTAAAAATATAAAAAACAATAATTTAAAACAATAAAAAAATTTAAATTTTAACAAAAACGAATCCAGTAATGAGGTGATTGACGATCAACGGTAGCACCCACAGCCTGATAGAGTGACGATCAATCAAGCTTTAAATGGCATGTATATCCTCGAATCAACATAGTTAAACTTCTTCAAGCTCCATCTATAGCTATCTTCTTTTTCAACAAATGGAAGAACAAGAAACATATACAACATTCGAAACTATGACAAGCAAATACTAGAACTTATTAACTCAATAAATCTGAGATTTCATTTGGTGACAGGATTATTCAAATAAACGAACAAATTGCCACGGAAACAAATTGTTAAGGAATCCCAAGAAACAAGATTCCACTAAATATTTAAATTACGTCACGATCTTCTATATTACAAACAGTTGAGTCTTCGAGAACAAGGTGTAGGAGAGATTCCTAGTCAAGTTCTAAAACCAAATCCAGAGAATCTCTTTGAAGCTTCATCCTTTATTCTCTACGAGCTAGAATCTAGGAGATTTACAAGGGAATTGCCTTTCCTGATCCTAGCCCTCCCTGCTTCCTTCAATAGCATGGCTAGCCTTTCCTTCTCATCGGCAACTTCTGGATTTGCTGTTCCAAGTTTTTCTTCTCTCAACTTGAGTATGTACTCCAATATCACAGTTGCATCTTCTACCCTATAAAGATAACCACAAGTCTCCATTCAGTACAGCGCCTCCAACAACAGAGGAACCTCAACTTTTGGCTTTGAAAAGTAATCGCATAAATTGAATACCTAAATGTAATCAACAAATGCACAAAAGTTTCTCCAATAAGCTAACCCACTGAAACTTGCATCAGGGACTTGCTGGAATTTTTGCAATGCATTATGCCACATAACATTGAGCGAATACACTATGGCTTCAAATATCACCCAGTATGTAAGATTGGTGAATAGGTGGTCCAATCCAAAAAATGCCAAAGCAAAATGCCATAATCATAAATAGGTCCCATATAGTCAGGTTGAAGATTTTACCAAGCAAAATACGAGGATTTCAAGACAATCTAAGAACATCTGGAGTAGATATTGAGGGGGGGAAAAGGGATCGTTATTCCTGGTAGACACCTTCGGTGAACCAGTAGTAAAGGGTGAATGTTATCCCGTTTGGAAACTATACATGCCAATTGTCAAAACCAGCCTATGCAAAACGATTGCCATGCGTAGTAGAAAATGAAGAGTTTCGCCTGGTTCGACGGTATGATAAAGCCAAATAAGTGACTTTAACAGATAACAAGAAGCTGCAAATGTTTATAGCAGGTAATGATGTAAAAAAGACCTTGGGATGAATACAAAAATATTCTCACCTTCCCATAGCATCGTAAGTTGCTGCAAGGTTGCTATACACTCCAATCGTATCCAAGTGACATGAGCCACATTCCTGCTCTAAAATCTCCCTTGCTTCTTGAAACAACTGAGCTGCCTCATCTATCCTGTACAGTTGTGCACTGGCCAATCCCATCTGGTTCAACACAATCCCAAAGAAGACTGATCTAGTCTCCCCACTAGCCCGGAGCTTTGCTACAGCATTTTTAAAGGAACTTCGAGCCTCCCCGTACCTTCCAACCTTGTAAAACATCACCCCCATATGTGCTTCTATTCCCGCAATCATGCTATGTTGCCCTGGGGTATCCTTCAACAACTTCATTGCCATGTCCAAGAGCTTCAACGCCTCCACGTGCTCATTTAAAGCTTGATAGATGGCTGAGATTTCAGTCAGCCCACTAGCAATCTCCTCGGTTGCACTTCCACGCACTGGCTTTGAAAATATTCTCAAGGCATTCTCACAATATGATTTGGATTCTCTTAGCTTGCCTGTCTTACAATACACATCTGCCAAGCGAATATAGACTGATGCAATGGTAGAGTGATCATCTCCTCTTATGGATTTAAAGACTGTTAAGGCTTTTTGATAAGAAAAAATGGCTTCATCAAATCGACAAAGGGACACATAGATATTGCCAACGCTAACATCAATGGCAGCAACTTCATTTTCCTGACCAGCAGCAATCATCACCATACTAGCAAGGACAAGGTGCTCAAGTGCAGATTCATAGTCCCCCTTTGCTTCATAAATAAGAGCCATAAGCCGGCGATCACCTGCCTCTTCAAGTGATGCTGGGGCATTATGCACCCTGTGAATTTCAAGGCTCCTTTGGCATAGTTTTTCTGCCTCGTCAAACTGCATTGCTTGAACATAAGCCTCGGCTAAGTACCTGCCATTGTCACTGTTAAAACAAGTTTCACAGCAAACATCCTGTATATATACATATTTAATTATCACTACAAATAACAAATTTACTTTTAACTTAGCAGGTGGTTAAAATTGCCCCAGAATTTAAATTGAATTGGATAGGTATTTTATTGGTGGATTTGTTAAAGGGGATCATTATGTTAGCCTATTTGAATGAATAGTAGCGCAAGTTAGCAAACCACAGAGCAAAAGACTATAATAAGCCCCCAGCTAAAAAGGAGGGCCTAACCTGCAAGTCTCAGCAACACTGGGATCCCAATCCCCGAGAGTCTCAGTTTGGATCTTTAAACCCGACTCATAAGATGATATGGATCGGTCTACTCGCCCCAGCATAGAATACGTGTCACCAAGCTGCATGAACCCGGAAAACTTCGCCACCGCATGATCCGACCCGTTTTTATGATCCAGAGCCTCAATAGACCGTTTTAGAACCGGAATTGCATCCTCCAACCGGCCCATGCTGCAATAGATCGCTGCTTCTACTTGCAAGCTCATAGCCAGGTCCCGACCTGGACCCGAGGATTTCTCAAACGATATGGACGCACGGGCGGCATAATCCAAGGCCTTATTATGGTCATCACCGGAAGCTACGGTGTCTATGGCAAGCTTTAATAAAAAGGGACCCAGATCCGGGTTATCAAGAGACGATTCATGGGTGCGTAGTTCTTGCAGTGTCTTGTTAGGAGGTTTGATTTTTGGTTTGGCGAAGGAGGGTGATGGGGTTCGTTTTAGTAGAGGAGATGGAGTTTCATAGCCCTTTTTATGGATGCAATTGTCGTTCTGAGGAAAGGAAACATGTTGTGGTGTGGCATTTGGTGTGGTTTTTGCAGAGACTAGGCCCAACATAGTTACAAAAAAACCCAGCAATCCACAATACAGATTAGTTTCTACGGTTCAAAGGAGAGCTGAAACTGAAAGCGGCTATGTTTTGATTCACATTGCATGGTTTTGGATAAATAGAGTGGAAAAATTAATGGGTTTCTCTTTTCTGGCACAAAGGGCTTAATTATTAATGGTGGTGGCTTGGAAGAGACTTATAATGATGAAGCAGTTAGAGTATTTTAATTTGACAACAAGCTTTACAACGAAAAAAGGGAGAAACAGAGACACAAAATCCATCAGCTCTGCCGCAGTCAGGCTTTACTGTGCTGTTCTCTTTCTTTCTTTTAACGCTATTAAGAACACCATGCTTTGCTTCATACCTCAGCAATCGCTGTTTCAATTTCAGGGTAGTACTGTAATTAGTGGCTGTCTGTTTGTCACTGGAAAATATCCTCAAAACCCCCTCCACTGTATTTAAATTACGGCCTCTGCCATTTAAATAACCAAACGGTGTGTTACTCTGGTGTTTTTGTGGCCTTTGCTTTGTCAAACCGATAAACCCTTCTCATCCCTCTCTGGGCCTTTTCATTTGGCTGGCGCATCTGTCGACGGTGATTCTAGAGGTAATTAACATCTAACATCTGCAGACTACTTGCCTTGTTACTGCTGTGCCTATTTTGAATATATATATTCAAAATAGGCACAGAATTAACAAGGCAAGTATTCAGTAGATGTTAGATAGGATGAGCTAAGGCTGAGATTTAAGAAGGAATGATTTTTAACTGGGTTTATTGATTTTGAAGACCAAAAAAAAAGTCGGAAATCGAATAATTGTGTTCCTCGTATAGGTAGTTACTATGAAGTGTGAGAAATTTAATGGAGCAGTGTGCAAATAAGAGAAGGCAAATGAAATGCTTAACGGGCGGTTTTAAAATAAGAGAAGAAGGCAAGTGAAATTTAATGGAGCAGTGTGCAAATAATTGTGTTTCGTGTTATAATTGCATGCTTCAGTGGCTGATCAGATCTAAGGACGTCCTAGTATTTCAGACATGCTAAACTTAAGAAAGGATGGTTTAACTTGTGATTTACTTAGCATTGGAATCTGATCTGAATTTGCCTGGTTTGATGTCCTCTGATTTAGAATACTTTTCAGCGTTATTGAAGTTCCAGGTGGGTTGAAAGTTTGATCTTTGTGTGCTGTATACTAAATGTATCGTTTGGATTCTCTGAAGGGTCCTTGGGTTCCAATCCACCTTTAATGCTGCCTAGGTAGATGGCCCTTTGATCACAGTGCTTATGAATTGGATTACAGCAAGCTGTTTGATGATGTGGAAAGAGCTAAATTCCTTTGGTGTTTCAAATATGTTTGAAATTGTTTCTCATCTGGTCACATATTACATTAGCCACTCATTCCTTCCACTTTTGAAAGCTGCTTTCATTTCCTTCTTAATGGAACTCGGTGCTTGCAATGTGCTTTGCTCAGGTTTCGCTAACTGGGCCTTCCATATCATAATTTTGGATCGTGTCAGATCATAGTGCTAATGCCATCATAGTTCTCATGCTTATATTATGTAACTTCACTTATTCCAGACTGGCCCATGCTGTTTCTTTCTTTTTTCATGACTTGTAGCTTTATCCTTTTCCCCTATATTACCTGCAGGTTTTTGTAAGAGAATTTGTTCCTAGTGACTTAGCATGTCTAAGGAAGGAACCTGCAGAACCTGAGATTGTGAAGAATTTTCTGCTGAAAACCCCCCCTCCCCCACCTGCGGGGTTTGGAGAAAAAGGGTTGATAACTTCACTCTTGGAGGTGGTGTCTTGGCCGCAAGTTTTAAGGTCCTCTGTGACTCTGATCAGGAAAAGGAAACCTTGCTTGTGGATTTTGGTGCCAGTGCAATCGGAAGAGTGGCACCTGTTGATTCAGGTTTCTGGTGGATAATTCTTCTTAGGTCCTATATCAAGCGCACTCGTGATTGTGCCCAATTATATCGCCCAGAAGTGCAGACAGGAATGAAACTGATGCGTAAACTTTACCTTTTGGATGGCTTTGACACTTTCCCAACACTTTTATGTGCAGATGGGTGCTGCATGATGACAGGAGGATGGTGAGTTTTCTCTTCATTATTATCCACAATCTTGATGGAATATGGGAAACTATATCATTTCAATTTGATAATGCTGATCCACACTATATAGTATAGGTCTGGTCATTGAGTTATTCATTTTAGGTTAACGTAAAACTAGGTTTCCCTTCTTATTTCTACATCTTCTCCCTTTCAGTACAATCTTGTTTTTATATGCGCAGTTATGAACATCAAATGCAGAGAGCTTACCCCTTGAATTTGAAATAGCAGCCCATTCAGTTCGCTTTCTTTTTAACTCCATTGGAGAGAACAACTGTGATTGTACTTGTGGATATTCTGAATGGCAACTAGCATAAATGAAGAGGTTCGGATAGGAGACTCTTAAAGTTGTTCTATTAGTGCATTCCAATCTTGGTTCCCAGATAATTAGGAAAATTCAATAATTTCTCTTGATGGATTGTAATTTTCTAGTTGAACTTCCTTTTGTTTTTGGAACAGGGAATATACGGTTATCCAATTGAGATCCAAGCACTTTTCTACTTTGCACTAAGGTGTGCAAAGCAGATGTTAAGACCAGAGCGCGATAGCAAGGGGTTTATCGAGCGAATTGAGAAGCGCATCACAGCTCTCAGCTACACTGTTGGCTGGATTTCACACAGCTAAAAAACATATATCGCTACAAAACTGAGGAGTACTCCCATACTACAGTCAATAAATTTAATGTCATCCCGGAGTCCATTCCTGTTTAGGTGTTTGATTTCATGCCTTTGCGAGGAGGTTACCTGATAGGCAATGCCAGCCCAGCTCGCATGAATTTTCGGTGGTTCTTAGTTGGGAACTGTATTGCCATTTTGAGCTCCCTGGTGACTCCTGCACAGGGACATGAATGGAGGATAGTCACTGGATTTGATCCTAAAAACACAAGCTGGAGTTATCATAATGGCGGGTCATGGCCAAGTGAGTGCCATAGACTATTAGACTCCGTGCATCTCAAGACATAATTTTTTATGGCACAGCTTTTCCTGTAGTCTATGTGGCTTGAGTATTATGATGGTAAGACTGGCAGGTATGTTGGGGAGCAAGCAAGGAAAAATCAGACCTGGAGTTTTGCTGGCTATTTGGTTGCTAAAATGATGCTTTAAAATCCTTCCACTCGTCTAATGATCTCTTGAAGAGGACAAGAAGATTGCTGCTAAGTCAAGGCTCATCCGCTCGAACTCTTATCCCGTTTAGATATATATAAACCCTGAATTCTTTAGAATGATGGCAAAATACATCCGATTATTTTGTGGTAATATTTAAATGCAGGCTGAAATGAACTGCTCTGGCATAAAATTAGCAATGCGCATCCGGGGAATCGAACCCCGGTCAGTACCGTGGGAGGGTACTATGATACCACTACACTAGATGCGCTCCTTGGTATTGGATCAACACTTACATATTATAAATATAGTTATATGCGCAGCAAAATCATTGTTTATAAATCATTTTTTCTATTACTTGTGTTTTAATATCATGAAATTCCAAGGTTTTCTCCTAAAAAATTATTTTAGTAATATAATACTTATAAATTATTTTATTTAAACTCATCAGTGATTGTATAATTAAAATCCATTCAAGTAGTGTGAATAAATAAAGTGCATAATTTTGATATGATGGTGGTAAGAAATTTTAGTATATTATTTGTAGCATCAATGAATCCTTTTATGTTAAAAAGTTTTTATGTGGCGTGGATAAAACAATTAACAATATAAATATGAATAATTTTTTTTATAAATCATATAAAATGAAATGTTTCTTTCTTAATTAATATTGGATATTGTTGCCAAGAGAATAAAATTTTATGAATCTCTAATAAATTTGAAGTTAATACGTTCAAGTTCAATAATTTACTATATTTTCAAATTTTAATAATTTTTTATTTTTAAAATGATTGGTTTCCATTGAATTTTTAAGCATTTGTGGAGTTTTGATGGTTAAAATTAAATAATGGTTAGATATCGATTAGTTATGAATGACTTGGGAATTATTTTTGTATGTTATCATGTACATTACAAACAGAAATGTGATTAGAAAGGAAGACGAAGATATTAAAATCGGGTAGTTGATGGTACAGAAATAAATAAATAAATAAATAAAGTAATTTGCTGTGTTTAGACTAAAAAAATATTTATTTGTGAGGCGTGTTGCCCGACCCACTTCATGCGCGGCACACCTCGAAAAAACATACCCTAATATTTGTTGTTAGGTTGCATGTTATAATTATTTTTTAAATAATTTTTTATATTAAAATATATGTTAAAATATTTTTTATTTTTTAAAAATTAATTTTAATTTTAATATATTAAAATAATTTAAAAATATATAAATTTTCAAAAATATTTTTAAAATACAAATACAAACAACTTATTATTTGTTTGGCTATTATCTAAATGGACCGTGAACTAAAGTTCGGAGGTCAGTCAAATTTCCATGAATAATGTTTATGAAGTCGAGGAAAAACAAAAACTAACCAAACCCAGGAATGAGAGAGAGGCAACAGTTAAAAGTAAAAGTTATACACACACCAAAAACTGGTCACCAAAGGCTATAGTGAACAAAAAAACCAAGAAAGTAAAATGTTCAACACCCACACATTAAAAACTACTTACCAAAGGCTATGGTGATAATATAATTATATACAGGATTTTAAGTTATGTTTTTTAACATAAATTTTTTTGAGTGTGAGTTAAAATGTTTATGCAAGCATCAAATAAAACAAAAATAATCAAGAGTCATCCATGTAAATAAAAGAAAAAAAATCCTAATAATAACTAAAAATAAAATAATATAAATTAAGATATTTGATCTTACAACATGAAATGTTTATCCATATATTTTTACTGAATTTATTTATTAAAATTATTATTTATTCAATTAAACAATAATACAAATAAATACACAAAAAACAATTAATTAAATAAAAAAAAGAGAAGCATGCAAGATTGCACATATATCATCTAAAAATAAATTTTATTTTATTTAAAAAATAAATTTCATGTATATAAAATCATGTTAAGTTGAAAAAAAAAACCTATAAAAGCATTAAATTTGATAAAAAAAATAAAATAAAAATAATGAGTCTAAGTCAACTTAAGGAAACATGATAGATATGTAACTTAGATAACAAAAAATGAGTTAATTTAGGTTGATTCACAAAACTCATGGATTAGAACATAAAATGAAGATAACTTGATAGAAAATAAATTAAAAAAAATCACAAAATCAATCTAAAAAAAACTAATATTGAATGACAAAATAAAAAAATAAGTAAAAAAAATGTTAATTTTTCAATCCCTTAACTTGAGTCATTATATTGGAAACACCATACATAAA